TATATATATATATATATATATATATATATATATGCCTTGTTTGTGTTTGGCTATCCGGTGTGTATTCTTACACCATGAGGCAGAGTGAGATGTTTCTCATTCCCTTTTCTTTTGTGTTGTTTTCCTTTGATTGTTATACAGGTGATCATCAGCATGAGGCTGAGGATGTTGGTGATGAAGTTTATGCTTCAGTGTTGGTCTTTGCTCTGATAGGACATGCATGTGACATCGGAGTATAGATAGGATTAGATTAGGATGTTATTTCTATTAAATTATTTTGAAAACCTTAGCCTTATTTCTCTTTGTAATTTTCGCTAATTATGTTATTTGTTTAACTTATGGATGTGATGCTTTCTATCTGAACATGTTTGGTATTTTAATAATGAAAGATTATGTTATTTAAGTTTTATTATTTATGTGTTAGGATATACGGGTAGAAAGTGTCACACTTCCTCCTTCACTAACAATATAGTCAACCGTCATGCCAACTTGGATAGTAGAACCCTAATAGGAGATCAACGAATCCAGTTTTATAATTGTGAGAGGGGGTGGGTTTTCAAATATGAAATGTGCAATATTGAGAAAAAGAAGACGACTTTTGTGAGTGACCAAATGAAAACATGCTACAATGAGTTAAAAAAGAGAAACAAAATGTAATTTTTATAAAATTTTCAAATGAGTTACGCAAATCAGATGAATCCACTTTTACTTACTGCGGCTGGTTATTTCCCTTGTTCACCCATGGACCATTTGTTTAACTATTCCATGCTAGAATCCACCATAGAACTTTCTTTTTTTTTTCTTCTTCTTTACTTTCCCTTTTTGAACCATTTCTATCATAAACAAAAACAACATTTCATACTGTTTGTGGGATTAACCATCATTCAAACAATACATGTTTGAATTAGGAAATGTAAGTTAATGAAATAAGCAAAGCAAACTTATAATACTTTAATTTGGATAAACTTTTTTTTATATTTATAAGAGAAGGAAATAAACAGGTAAAAACATTTTTGATAAATTAAAATTAACATATAGCTTAATATTTTATAAGTTTTCTAATTAAAACGTACGTATAACTTGATTTCAATATAAAGGAGAAATTTAATTCAGTTTCTTCATATCTGTATTTTGCAGAAAAAGTTTGAGAATTGAGTTTATATAACCTTGGAATTTGGTGCCTGAACTCACTTGTATATGAGCCCCGTTGCATTTTATAGTATCCCAGATATGGATTCATTAGATATGTAGGAAACTATGTGACATATTTTTAATATTATTTGATTAGAATGGATGTGAGAATAAAAAACCGATACAATAATTCATGTTTTACATCAAATTTTAACGAATTAATTATTAAATTAAAAGTTCTTAATTCATAGATTAAGTTTACAAATTTTTAAAAAATTTAAAAACTATTTGATATTTTATTTTATCAATTCAAATTAATAGAGAATTATAAAAAAAAAAATATATATATTGATTTGAATCTATATAATGAAATATCAAATAATTTTATTTTATTTTTTAAATTTATAAACTTGATCTTTATATTAAAATTTTTTAGTTTATCGATTGAATAATTGAAATTTAATATAGAACATAAGTTATTGAATACAACAATTCTACTTAAACTTAATTTTGAAATAAATAGATCACTTTTCATATATATTAAGAAAAATATCGTGGAGAGAAATAAAATCAACTTCAATTATTTCTATTTCTTTAAGAGTATTAGGTTTTGGTTGTCGATTAAGAATACATATTGATTTGAATCTATATAATGAAATATCAAATAATTTTATTTTATTTTTTAAATTTATAAACTTGATCTTTATATTAAAATTTTTTAGTTTATCGATTGAATAATTGAAATTTAATATAGAACATAAGTTATTGAATACAACAATTCTACTTAAACTTAATTTTGAAATAAATAGATCACTTTTCATATATATTAAGAAAAATATCGTGGAGAGAAATAAAATCAACTTCAATTATTTCTATTTCTTTAAGAGTATTAGGTTTTGGTTGTCGATTAAGAATACTCTTACTACACAAAAAAAAAAAAAAAAAAGATGTTAGAAAAGAAAATTCCTTCATAACTTTACATATAATTTCTTTAGACCATGTAAATGCTAACTTATTACAACAAAGTTCATGTATGTTGAAGCAATATTCATAGCAAAAATCAAACATTAAATTTATTTAAAATAATTCGGCACTATACCTCCAATGAAGAGATTTAAAGGTTTTTTCGGGGTAGAATCTTTCTTTAACATTTCTTAATATAACAAAATACATAATAATTTCTTAGCATAAGAGTAAACTTTTATTCTTAATGTCTTACACATACTATCTAGTACATTACAAAAAGCCACCTATTAACATGTCTTTCTTCACTATAGAGAAATACCATAAATAACTATTAGTAAATACTAAAAGGTATATTTGTATTGGTATAATTTATAGCAAATTAAGTTTGGGTCAATCAACCATTTCAAGCTTTGGATGCCAGATTTCATATTGGGCCAGAATGAGACCCATCCATTATGGGCCTTCAGAACGCAAGCCCAAACCGTTCTTCTTGTTGGTGATGGGAGCAGCTAGGGTTTTGGGTACGGGTTCTCCTCCAATCAGTGGTAACACGAATCTTGGAAATGTCGATGATGCAACGGAACGGACGCAGCAAGAGCGTGTTGAAGCGTTCGAAGAAGTACTTGGAGGAAGCGCTTTACGTGAAGCTCTTCAGAGATGGAAGTTCCCAACTCAACGTTCGTCAGAATCTCAACAACTTCATCAAAAGCGGAAAGCGCGTTTACAAATGGGAGGTTGGCGACACCCTCAAGAAGCTTCGCCACCGCAACCTCTATCAACCCGCTCTTAAGGTTAACACCGTTTCCACTTTAGGAACAGAGTATGGCACAAATCGTACTCGTTTTAACTTCTTTTTATTTGTTTATATATACTCAAATGTTTGCTATTAGTTTCTCAGAATAAAATTAAAATTGTGTCCTTTTGATTCCTGCATTTTGAAAATGGGAATTGCATTCACATTTCTATGAATAATGATCTAAGAGAAGCGGACACTGCTATTTAATCATTTTGCTTTTTACTAATGTGTGGCTTTGGATCTGACATGCAATGCAGTGGAAATTATTGTTGTTGTTGTTGTTTGATTTTTTGAGTAATTGATGTTGGTGTTTTTCTAAACCTTGGGTTTTGAATGAACAATTTTTTGCTGTGGTTTATGAATGTGGATGCACCAAAGGCTAATGAACTGATAATGATAGTAATTACTGGCTACTTACTCACACAATCGCGCACTGGCAGACAATGCAGATGCACGAAAGATGGGGGAGTGTAAATCTTATTTTTAAGGAAAATGAGTTTTCAATTTATTTATTTTTTAAGAAAAGAAATTAATGTTTCTCGTTGTATTAATGCTTTCAAATTTGAATAATTAACTGTCTTGTGTGATTTACATTCTATGATGTGCTGTTTTTGATAAAGTGTGCAAGATGGGAACAAAACTATGCTAGCACAAAATCTAGAGATAGTAGCTAGCAGGCTATAGTTTTCTGTAACTATTATTCATGGAGAAGTGTTCTTTTTTGTATGTTACAGTTGTCAGAAACCATGTCTAAGAGGAACATGAACAAGACTGTCAGTGACCATGCCATTCATCTCGACCTGCTTGCGAAGGCCCGAGGAATTACTGTCGCTGAAAATTATTTCGTTAATCTCCCGGAATCTGCTAAGAATCATCTATGTTATGGTGCCCTTCTGAACTGTTACTGCAAGGAATTGATGACTGAAAAGGCTGAAGCTCTTGTGGATAAGATGAAGGAGCTTAGCCTTCCTTTTAGCTCCATGCCTTGCAACAGTCTTATGACTCTCTATACAAAAGTAGGGCAGCCAGAAAAGGTTCCATCCATCATACGGGAAATGAAGGATAGCAATATCATGCTGGATACTTACACGTACAATGTCTGGATGAGAGCTCTTGCTGCTGTTAATGATATTTCTGGTGCTGAAAGGGTTCATGAAGAGATGAAGCGGGACGGTCGAGTCACTGAAGATTGGACTACCTATAGCAACTTAGCATCACTTTTAGTTGATGCTGGCTTGTTTGATAAGGCAGAGGTGGCCCTCAAGGAATTGGAGAAGAGAAATGCTTTCAAAAATCTTAATGCTTACCAGTTTCTAATTACATTGTATGGGCGAACGGGTAACTTATTCGAGGTTTATAGGGTCTGGCGTTCACTGAGGCTGGCATTTCCCAAAACTGCAAACATAAGTTATCTTAATATGATTCAGGTGTTGGTTAACTTGAAAGATCTCCCAGGAGCAGAGAAATGTTTCCGGGAGTGGGAATGTGGCTGTCCCACTTATGATATTCGAGTTGCAAATGTTCTGATAAGGGCATACACAGAATTAGATATGCTGGAGAAGGCTGAAGAGTTCAAGGAGCGTGCTCGGAGAAGGGGTGCCAAGCCTAATGCAAAAACCTGGGAAATCTTTTTGGATTACCATTTGCGGAAAGGAGAGGTTAAGTTGGCAGTGGATTGTCTAGACAAAGCAATATCAATTGGTAGAGGGAATGGTGAGAAGTGGGCACCATCGTCAGAGATCATTGATTCGATGATGAGGCATTTTGAGCAAGAGAAGGATGTTGATGGTGCAGAAGAATTTCTAGAGATCTTGAAGAAATCTGTGGATTCCCTAGGGGTGGAGGTGTTTGAATCCTTGATCAGAACTTATGCAGCTGCTGGGAGAACCAGTTCGGCTATGCAACGGCGATTGAAGATGGAGAATGTGGAGGTGAGTGAAGACACCAAAAAGTTACTTGAGGCAATTTCTGTGGAGTGACTCATGATGCTTTCATCCTTCAATTTTTGATTGTTGTAAATTGAGATGCTGTGGTCTATCAGCACATTTTGCTTTGGTGATAGAATTTGGTATTTCGATTTATACATTTTGGAATGGCGAATGCTGTCAATCATTGAAGGCCTCCTCTTATTTGATTATTGAATAATGAAATACTGGGAAGGAGCATACATAAAAGTGCTTCACCAATGGGATTTAAGTGTTTGGTTTCGCGTGAAGTTTATCCATAGTCTCGATTAAATACCAATTAATATTATTTTGGATAAATGGTTATATATTTGGTCTTAGGAAGAATTTATTGTGGTTCACAATTAATTGTCTTTCAAGTAATTTTTGTGTTGGATAAAGAAATTATAAAAGTTTTGTTACTATGAATAAGAGTGGGTGAATATAAAAACCGTTTATTAAAAAGTTAACTATAATCATAATTGATTGGCTTCATAATAATCAATTAATTAAAAAATAGTTATAAAGATAAAAAATAGTTTTAATCTATCAGATCAATGTTAATTAAATATAACAAATGTTAAGTGTAAAAAACGATTTATTGCTGACCTAGCAAGCCAAAAATGTTGTTTTGTGTTAATTCAGTAGGATTAAACTACTTAGAATGCTCACATGTGTTGTAATGAATCTCTTAGTTGAAATGCATAATGATGCATAAAGATGTTGTGTTGATAAGTTGTTGCATTGTAAAGTTATTGTGTTGTTTAGTTGCAATGCTATATGTTGATAAGTTGTTGCATTATAAAATATTTGTGTTGTTAAGTTATTATGCTTATGTTGATAAATTGTTGCGTTGTTGTGTTGTTGTGTTGTTAAATTGCTATGTTATGTGTTGAGTTGTTATGTTGCAAAGTTATTACGTTGTTAAGTTGTTATGCTCTATGTTGATAAGTTGTATATAACATGTTGTTGGTTTGTCTAATAGAAATATTGTTGAAGGTTGTATGCATTGTTGAATGTTAAGCTAAAAGTTGTGTGGTAAGGTTGTTTAGTTGTGAAGTTGTGTTTATGCTGTGAAATTGTTATATAAATAGCTTATTTACTTTTATATACGATATTTTCTTTGCATAGAAGTTTATCCTTACTTTTTCATATTATTAGATTGCGATAATCATATTATAATGGGAGTAGGGCATGATTAGGTCAAAGGGCGAGCAAAGTGTTGTACCATGTTGGTGATGATGATGTTTTGGTGGAGACTATTTTGAAACAACTATATGTTGTTTAATCAACAACTTAAGATGTAATGTTTTACAATTATGATACACACACATATGAGAAATCTAGTTTGTACAAGTGTTTATTATTATTAATTTACCGTGATTTTAGAAGATAAACAATAGATTATTTAAAATTGTGTGTAACTATATGTCATATATATATATATATATATATATAATTGGTTATATAATCAATTTTAGTTATAACTGGTTATATAAATAATTTTGGATATATAATCGGGTTTTTAAAAATTATGTGCAGATTTTATCAAACCAAAATTGATTATACTCCCTCGTTTTTTTTTATTGACGTTTAAAGTTATGTACAAAAATTAAGAAAATGATTGATACTTTAGCTTTTCAAAGTATTTATTACTTATTTTCTTGTTATATCTTTTAGGTAGTTAGAGAAGAAATAGGTATATTAGAAAATGAATAGATATATTGTTCAGTAAACATACATTAATTATCAAGGATAAAAATGAAAAAAAAAAATTATAGGTCATTGATTTTAGAAAAGTAACAATTAAAAAAAAACAAAAAAATAGTACCAAAATGACTATAAAAAAAATTGAGGAAATAGTAAACTGGTTATAATTTAGGTATAATAGTATGTATTTGAACGTTTACTAAATGGTTATGGTTGGATTATTAATCTAAACATTAGCACCCAAACATAATCATAAATTGCTTTGCTTTAAAATCAATAATAAATGCATAGTCAATCACACTAACAACAATAAGCATAAATCATTTGTCAATTGCCAGCCAACTAAAGGCGAGTTCATATTAATTTGATTATTGAATATATAATAATTATCTCTGATTAAAATGAAAAAGACAAAAGGAAGGCTTTCAATGTCATATCGATTTTTTGTAAATTAAAATTGCCATGCATTTTAAATTAAACGAAGGAAAATATATTTTTACAGAAAAACATTAGGAGTACATGTTTCAAATACATGATGATTTAAGTTCAATTTTTTTTGTCATCGATATAAATTTTCTACTTATAAAAGAAAACTTCAGAGTACAAATAGAGTCTAATTCAATTGATTAAGGTGCCTAAGGTATTGTAAGGCTATTGATACCAAATTCGATTTTATAACTAAAATTTACTAGTTTTATTTATTCTATATTTCTTATATAATGCATATGCAAGTTAGTATTGTTAGAGGTGTTCATATAGGTCTCTCACAGTTAGGGATGGCAACGGGGCGGGGCGGGTACGGGTTTCATGATACCCGTCCCCGTCCCCGTAAGTTAAACTCATCCTCATCCCCGTCCCCATACCCGTCGGGTATAGATTTTCATCCACATTCCCGTCTCCGTCGGGTATCGGGTATACTCATACCCGTACCCGTACCCATCAATTTTTTTTATTTTTTATTTTTTTTATAAAAAAATGATATTTTTAATTATTTTTTTATTATATTATAATTATAATTAAGTTATTTTTTTATCTCATATTATAATAAATAATCACACATAAAAAAATATTAATTTTTTTTAATATAATTAAATTAAAAGTGAATATTAAATTAAAAATGAAAACGGGGACGGGTACGGGGTGGGTAAGTACATACCCGTACCCGTACCCGTATCCGATTTAATATATCGGGTTTTACCCGTACCCGTACCCGTACCCGATCAAACCGGGTATTCCCCGTCAAAGTCGAGACGGGTTCGGGTATTACCCGCGAGTACAGGTATATTTGTCATGCCTACTCACAGTATGTAATTTGCCTTCTTACAAAGATAGTTGTGCAGTAAGATTGATCATATATGTATGTAGAGTTTTCTCATGGGAGGGTCACAACTTGCAAAGAAAAATACACATTGTTTCTTAGTCAATGATATGTATGCCTAAGGAGGAAAGAGGGTCTTCGACTAAGTTTGTTTTTGCTTATTCTTATAAGTTGGATTCCTACTCGGTTGTTCAACCTGAATTACGAACCATTCATCATGGTCTCTGAATATTAAGAAATAAAGGCCTTATTGGGAGGATTCTAGTAAAGTCAGATTCTTCTTTAGCAGTGAAGTTCCTAAATGAAGGTTGTAACCAAAATCATTCATGTTTTTCCAAAGAATTATGCAAATTAATTAGGTCAATCTATTCACACAACATCCCAAAACATTAAATTTTTTGTACGGTGGGAACAACAACATAGACTAGTGACTTTTGTCTTTTTGACATAATTTTTAATTTAATTTTTTATGTTTCTACACTTTTTATTTTACTTCTCAAAATATGTTTTGTTTAAATACTTTTATTTGATTTCATTACATGAGATTTTTTTTCATTTTATTTTTAAAAACATCAAAAAGTAAAAAAAAAAACAATTATAACATTATTTTTTATTTTTTTACATATAGATAATAAACTGACATATCATTAATTTTAATTTAAATCATTTTTATATGGAATAAATAATGTAAATACCTAATTTTGTCCCCTCTTATTTGTCTACTAATTTTTCTTAATCTTACTCAATTATCATTCATTAAATTCCTTTTCAAAATTATTTAAACCAACCATATTAATGCTTCCTTTCTTTTTTGGGGTTTTATAAACCCAATTAGAAGAATAATCTAATCCAATACAATAAATCAGTGATTCAAGAATAAAAATAACTTACCAATCAAATTTGTAATCAAAGAAAAATATGTAAAAAGAAAATCAAGAAAGGGATAAAGAAAGAAAAAAATATCTCTCTCTATCAAATCTTTGTCACCTTACGAATGAACCTTATTGCCCTATTTGTAAAAGAGAAAGGGAAACGATTCTGCATGTGTTATGTGATTGTCATTTTGTAAAATCTATTTGGCTATCCTTATACCGTGGGGCCCCTGGAATAGATTTCTTCTCAAATGCTACCCTTGATTGGTTGGAGAGTGATTTATCAAAAGAAGACAAAGTCTGGTCTATCATATTTGCACTATCTATAGACTCTATTTGGAAGGCTCGCAACTCCTTTGTTTTTCAACAGACTCAGCTCAATACTACTCTGGTGCTGGGAGAGATCCATGGGAGGCATCGTGAGATAGCTCATTACATTTGTCATGAAGCTACTCGTAGAGAGGTTCCCCCTCCATCAACCTCAAATATTGGGTGGAAAGCTCTTCCTCAAGGACTTCTAAAGTTGAACTGTGATGGGGCTGTTGCAACATCATCCCTTGCTTCCTATGGTGGGGTGCTTCATGATAGTTGGGGTAACTTTATTTTAGGATTTTCTTGTCTGATTGGACATTTTTCTATCATACATGCTAAATTATGGGCCATGCTCTATGGTTTAAAAATTCTCAGAGACAGAAACTTTTGTGATAAGATCATTATTGAGTCTGACTCAATAATTGCAATTCAGTTCTTAAATGAAGGGTGTCCTAGAAATCACTCTTGCTATGGGCTAGTCAACCAAGTTGTTAAGGCGGCTGGTGACTTCAATAATATTGAATGTACTCACACCTTAAGGGAGGCAAATCAGGTAGCAAATTGTTTTGCCAAAAAAGGGCTTTCTTTGTCAGCAGGTGTTCATGTTTTTTATTCTCCTCCAGATTGGTCTTTTTCCTTTTTATTAGCAGATGAGTCTGCTGTAACCTTCCCTCGTGGATTCTAGTTTTCTATTTTCTTTGGGCTGTTAGCCCCCTCATGAATAAAAAAAAAAAAAAAAAAATCTTTGCCACCTTACACTTTATTGTTGTCATTGAACCTCCTCCAACTAGCTCTACTAAACCTACCTACTAGAGCCACTAACAAGCTCCTAAGATCCCACTTCTGCCAAATATGCTTCCAAAAGCATGAATTTGGCACCAGCTACCAAAGGAGGTTTAAATTGTAGTGATAAAAAAAATAATAAAATTGTGAGTCTATAGATACCATAACATAACATGGAAAAATAGGTTGGAAAAAATTTCAAACAAGAAGAACCATGAAATGATTAATTATTGAGAGTGGGTGTGTGGAAGATAAAGGAACTCAGACAAAGCATAGA